ATATATTAATTTAGTAGGGTCTTCTATGGACAATTTAGACAGGACTGGAGTCAAAGTCAGATGAAATCTTTCCACATTCCCATTCCTTCTAGGAATGCCAGTAGCTGTAAATATGTGCTGGATTTTTTTCCTTCCATACAATAGTCTTTAAAGTCTTCAGAGGCAAAAGCCGTACCTTTATCAGTTATTATTCTCAAGGAATTGCTGAAAGTTGATTTGTTGCAGTTTCAGCTTCTGCAGTGCCTCTTGGACTGATGTAAACTTCACTGGGTAGAGCCATAAGAATTTTGTAAATGCATCGATCATGATCAAAATATGATTGCAGTTCTTATTTGCCAATGGTAATGGAAAACAGTGAAAAGTGCTCAAATGGATACTGTCTTTTGGTATGGGGTTCAGAAACTCTCACCCTTATCTCATTTTTTGTTACACAAAATGCGCTCTACACAATTCGCGATTTGTTCAATTCATCTTCTAAAGTTAGGAATATAAAAGTCCATCCATGGCAGATAGCCATCAACCATCATGAGAGCATTTCTACTCAGAGCATTGGCATGCTTTATTTGCTGCCCAGATCTTTGAATCATTTCGTAGTCGAATTCTTCTAGAAGTAATGCCCATCTCGACACTTTAAGAGTCGAAATTTTTCTGGAACATAGTCTTCTGAAAGGCATCAGTAATTATTCTGACTTTAGATCCCAAGAGGTAATTGCTGAATTTCTTTAGAACTTCCACTATAGCTAAAACTGGGAACTCAAACCTAGATAGCTTTTCATTTTATAAGTTTTTTTTTTAAATCATGAAGTGAATGACGTGTAACTGTTTATTGTCATACTTCTGTAGCAAAACAGCGGCGAAACCGTGACTGCTTGCATCTGTATGCTGGACTTCTTATTTGAAAGTATGATGAACAGAGCTTGTCGATAGTTTTTTCAGTTTGTCAAATGTGTGTATGTGATCAGCCCCAAATGCGAATTCTACTCTGTTATGAAGAAGATCGCTTTGTGGTTTGGCTATTTTTGAATACTTGGCAATGAATTTTATACTGAAATATTCATTTAGACCCAGGAAGCTGTGAATTTGCTTAAAACTTTTGAGTTCTGGGAAATTTTGAACAGCCATGGTTTTTTTTCAGAATAGAAAGAAATTTTACCATTTTCAGTAATATACCCGAGAAGTTTTATATTTCTCTTAAAAAACTGGCATTTCCTAAAATTGATTTCTAAACCGTATTCTTTGGCTCTTTCTAAAATGCATTTTTACTTTTCAAAAACCTTCTTTCTTGTCTCGAATAATCAAATAATGCAATCATCCATGTAAGTAACAACAGTGTCATCCTGAACGCATTATAAATAAATCTTTGGAATATACTTGGTGATGTACACAAAACAATTTAACAACCATAGAGACTTTGCATGTCTAATAAATGCCAGATATTCAGTGCAGTTTTCTGCCATGGGAACATGGGGGAAAAAATCATTTTTTGAATCTAACAACATTGAAAGAAACCTTTGCTTTACCCAAATGACACTGTTAAAAAAAGTTTTTCATGTATTGTATACAAATGTTGCTGCAGTCAATTGTGCATTTAAAGTTTTTTTTTTTAATACAAATTTTTAAAGATTAATTATGTGAGGGATGTATGTGTGTGTGTCTAAAACTATGTGAGGAAAATGTGTGTATGTGTCTTTATATATGTAGGGAAATTAAACGACATTGCTTGGTAAGAATGGTGATTTTCCTTTTCACACCGCAGAACATTTAGCAAGTACAGCAGATTAGAGTAAGGGAAAATAGTTGCTTTTAGTGCTTCTTTGGATTAGTTAAACACAAAGACATTTTGCATTGCTTGACATTTTCTTGTGCTCCCGGAATTCGAACAAATCTCAATACTCTTCACCTTCATGTGGTTTGACCAGTTTCTCTCTCAAGTAAGCAAGTGATGCTGTTTGCATTGTGTTATTGCCCTCTGATGGCTTCAAAACTTAGTGCTTCCATGTATAATGGAATGTAACAGAATTGATGGTCACAACTTTAATCCTTTGCGGCACAGACCAGGCACACCTAAAAATATCCTTCTGTATGCACAGAAAAATTAAATTAAAAAGGATTTATAGGTGACTATAGGTTATTCTGAACCTTCTTTATTTATAGTAGATGACAGCTCAACACAAACCAGTCCATATATTTTAGCCATTTTTAGTTTTTTGAGATCCTCATTTTTCCAAGAAATATTCCAGATTTTTTTAGGTTATAAAAGGAATTGTTTGAAAAGAAATTTGTATATTATTTTTTTTGGCTGTATGCTTATCTCCTTATTTATATTAGTTTTAAATTTTTACCTTGAAATCTTGCCTAAAATTAAATGGCGAACCCCAGGTGTGCCCAGACCGGGCTCACCGATAATTTACGACAACTGAGAGTTTGCATTCTTTGTTTCTTTGCATTTCATCGGTCAGTTCATTGACAACTGAAAGGTGGGTCTACATCTGTGTTTCATTTCCTGTTTTTCTCTTTCTTCTCTCTCTCTCTCTCTTTTTTTTTTTTTTTTTGGAGGGGACGTGTGCTTATCAACTAAGAAATTGTTGGGGTGATTTTCTGAAGGTCAATGGTAATTTTATCTGTTAGCTGTTTGGTTTTTCACTAAATATAAAGCAATTGATTTTGGTGAATTTGTAAAACCTGCTGTGAAAATGGTTGTCTGGCTTGTTACCAAAAATATGTGTACCAGGTTCGTGAGTGGATTTCCACTGTCTCTCGTGGCGGATCCTGTTTCGCCTTCGTAGTTTTCCCCATGTGTAACATGTATACGAGCCAGTTCCCCTTAGAAAGTCTTCCATGAAGGCATCCCTTCCCTTAGGCAGATAGCCCTCGTGTGCTTTGCCATAATTAAATACACACACCTGTTTCGCTTTCAATTCTGATGATCAATGAATCTGTATCTGGTGGTGCTGTGATGAGTGTTGAATCCCTAGTTTCACATATGAATGCCACACCTTCCATGATGAAGAGATTGTGCTATGAAATGCTGCTATGTCACCTTTTGTCTGTATCATGATACTCTGTGTAATGGCGAGCTGTTTTGCGACAATTCTTGACTAACTTACGGCACTTCATTTTCCAACTACTATGCAAACCACCAGAATCTTTAAATATTACTCATACTGAAGCCTTTAACATATGTTTTAGGAGATAACTTTTCCAGTTTAAATAATCTGTGAAAGTATATGCACTGGTATCTACAACTGAATTTCATATTTTGTGAATCAGTGCAAGATATCTATGATTTATGGGATAAAGACAAGTCTTGGTGTGTAGCTTATCAGAATGGTATGCATATGCTGTATGATTCATTATTACACCAAACTGCTGTCTTATTTTCATTGTGGCCACCTGAAGTATTGGTATTATTCTGCATTATCTCATCTAAATAATGTACACAGCTAGAAATAAAGTTAATGTAAACCCTATGTGTTCATACTTGCATGTTCCATTCCATTTTCCAGCATAAATGAAATTTAAATTGTTCAGATTTCATTTTCTCACCCCTAATGATTTTCAGAGAATTTTTTGTTATTAAATTTTATTTGGTCTGAATTATTAATCTACTGTAGAAGATTTAACCAATATTTAATCAGTAAATGTTTATATATAATTTTGTTTTACATCACTAAATGAAACACTGAAATTCATTTGCATAATAGTATGAGCATTAATTGTTAATTTTATTTTCCCTCTGTTTAAAAGTACTTTAATAAATTAAAAGCTTTCCTTCTGTGCTGACGATTTTACTACTATTAAAATGTAAGAAAATTATAAAATATAAGAAAAATAAAAATTCTCACTCTGTTCTTAAATGTGCTCTGATAAAGTATTATACGTCTGACAATGAAGCAATGAGCCTCTTTATAAGAAAAGTATATTTCATATATTATAAATTCTTCCTCCTTGAAGAGATCTATTTTGTGACTTATTACTGTCATGTAACTGAAATGGCAGATATCTGTACATAAATAAGTGCAGCCCAGAAGAGCTGTTTGAATATAATTTTAGTAAAAGTATAAAGGCATAAAATGAAATTAACTAAAAAAAACCTAATTTTAGAATATCTACTTAAATATTAATATATATTGTGTCAAAATATTTTTAATAAAAAGTATAAAGGCATAAAATTAAATAAAAAACCTAATTTTAGAATATCTACTTAAATATTAATATATTTTGTGTCAGAATAGTTGAATGATGTAAATTATGCATATTAAAAGAAATTTAAATAATTTGTTCTTTTGAAAAGGTGGTGCCATGTAATGCAAAAGCTCCCAGAAACTAGTTTTTTATGCATAAAACCTCCTGATTTTTGATATTTCAATATTGACAGCTGTTAATGTTCTAGAAATTTTGGAGAAGTTATGCAAAGCAATTTCAATTCTGTTTCTTCAGTATTAATGTATGTTTTGGATTCACTAACCTGAGTTCTGCAAAAATGATATTTTCCAAAAGCATCACATTGATCTCCAAGTGCATTTTAATATCCTTTTTTGAAATCTAAAAAATGCTGCAGATTCCACTTTCATTCCCCATCTCCTTTAACCAGACAAGAATTACCAAACACTTAACTGAAAGGAGATAAAATTGTTTCTAACGTATCTGGCTGTCAGCCATAGAAAAGATAATCCAAAACTTGTCCCCCCCCAAGTGGACCTTGAAATCTTTGAAAATGGCAGTCTTTTTTTCTGTTGATGAAATGCAAACTTTGGGCAACTGGTTGATACTCATGTGCTGATTTATGTATTTTAAAATAACTCTAATATTTTATTGATATAGATTTATATGATTTTCATTGAAACAAACAAAATTGACTGTGATATTATATGAATTTTTACTTCCTATGTGTCAAAAACTTTACCTTCCATTTCAGTGATTTATTTTACTACTGTTTTGTGAAATTTTTAAAAAGATATTCATGAAGTTTTTAAAAGGATGTTCCTTAATGTTATTAGTCATGTTTATGATTACTGCACAAGTGTTCATCAATCAGGGTCAAGACCTTCTTCTTCCAAATGCAAAAAAAGTCCTCCTATAGGTGGTGCTCAATTTGTTGGTCATGAATTATATAAAAGATTGAAGGAATTTTTAAAATGCTATCTCATAAATTTATTAAAAGTAAGTAAATATTTATTATAAAATCAATATTTTACTTTCATTCATGGTTGTAATAGATTTTTCTCTGTGCCTTACATTTGGTAGTTTGTTAGTTTAAGCAACCTAAGTATTTTTTCAATTTTCTAAATTATCTGTTACTCTGTACTAGCTATTCTTCTTTCTACTGTTATTTTATTTTTCAGGATGGAATAGACTTAATGGATGAAGATGTTTTAAGGTTTTATACAAGGCAATGGGAAGAATATCAGTTTTCTAGTAAAGTGCTAAATGGTATTTGCTCTTATTTAAATCGTCATTGGGTGAAGCGCGAGTGTGATGAGGGCCGCAAAGGAATATATGAAATTTATCAAGTAATTCATGTTCCAGAAAAGTATTATTAAAATATTCATAAATTTTCATAAAAATGTTTTTCATAAAAACCATGTATATTCATAAACATGCCTTTTTATATGTAAAACGAGGCTCTTTGCTATTGTTTAGATATTCATATATTTTTTTTTAGAATGATTTTTGCCTTTGAAATATGTATTCATTAAGAGTTTTCCCTTGTTTGTAACTATGATGTGTTGCAGCTATTCAAAATTTTCAACAACATGTTAGTAGTTCAAAACAAGCACTATTTTGTTCATTGGTTATATTTTTAGTGTGGAAAGTTTTTAATGTTTGAGGAAAATAGAATGGTTATTGTTTATCCAAGTGATATGAAAAGTTAACAAATTGATTGTTAAGTATCCCAATCATAAGAAACAAAAAGCAATTTATTGACAAAAACATGGTCTACAAATTTGTAGACTCATTTTCACCTAAAAGTGCAGTTCTAAATAGTGTCATTTTAGCCTACATCTTGTACCTGTGGTACTTAGGTATTTTGCTGTTGACTGCTCAAGTTGTCTGGCTACCACTGAATCATGAAAGTTGGCAGAAATCCTGTCAACTCTGTGCCAATCGTTCATGCAAAATTCTGAAGGAACTGACATTTCTTTGTCTAATATAAAGTGATACCTCACTCTTTACTTGCTTTTATAATCAACATAAACAAAATACAAATTTAGCACATAGAAAACTTACATAAATATTAATTTAATCTTTCAGATTAACTGACAGAGCAGTTCATTAAAACCTGTGGCAATTACTCTGGTGGCTGATTTTTATAGTCATTGGAAGTAATGCTTTTTTAATTCACTTTTATGAGACTGCAGGATTGTATATTTTCTTCAAAACCTTTAGTATTGAGAAGATGTAGGTAAATTTAAAATGTAGTCTAAAAAATTGAAGTGATGGAATTTAAAATTGGTCATTCTCACATCAAGTCTTTATTTTGTGAAGAAATTGATCATTAGAACAGCAGGCATAACAAATTCTTTTGTTGTTTGATCAAATGGAGGGCATTTCATACATGTCTGTATTAGTTTTCAGTGCCCTTCTTGATAGCTGCCATCATGTGCTAAGTATTGTAGGAAGCCTTGGTGCTTTTTTTAAATTAGCAAATTGTTTTTATGTTAAGCCATACTTCTCCTTTTTCTTTGCTGTGTTTTTAAATTTATGATTATTTCCAAATATGTTTTTAAAATTAGTTCAATAACAGCACAAACATTTTACAATTGTATAAAAATTTTATTTCCATTATTTTTTAGACACTAATAGAAACATAATTCCATTTATTTCAGTGCATTTCCAGTGCAAGCTTAACTATGCATTTGTTGTCTCATACAAGCCATTGCATATGCTTATCAGTTTTAAAACATTTAATTCCTTTATTTTTGCATGTACAGATATCCCAATTAAAATGATTAACAGCCAATTAAATTTTACTTCTCAAAATTTAATACCTTTTTTTTTCTGGTTTTTTTAAAAAATTTATCCTTAGTTTATTATTTTTCAAGTTAGCTTCTCTTAAAAGCCTTTAATCGTTTTATTGGAAATAATATTCATATACTTTGCATTAATAAACTAATTTGTTATTCTGTGTAACATGTAAACTTAAATTTCATATGGCCTTTACCTGTATATAGCAGGCCTTTACCTGTGTATATCTTATTACAGCTACTTACTGATTTTTGACATACAGTTGTATTTTTAAACAGAAATCCTGAGTTGGCAAGCTTTCTTACAGTCAGCAAGACTGCCATGTTTTCTCATATTCTTTAATCATTTGGCTGTTGCAAGATTAAGCAGTTTCTTGCCAGATCTGCACAATATCTGTCAGTCATAAATTTGTAATGCGCAGTGCATTTACTTATGCCAATTGTGATGTGTAACTGGAGTGTGAACTGAGCTCATTGATGACCATCAAAAGATTAAAGATATAATTTTTATCTTAAGAAATGGGAGATTATGAGAATAAACAGTAATTTTAATAATTATATCAAACTAGGTATACATAGTCTAATACATATCTTTATCAGTAAATCCCAAAACCTTTGCCACTCAGAAGGTTGAAAATGATACATTCTATTTTTTCTCTCAAGTTTATTTAATTTCAAGCTTTTCTTCTTGTGGTCCTTTCTCAATATGTCTGATTCAATATCTAGAAAGATTTTCTATTCCAAGTAGGTTCTTACATTTATTAAATACCAAAAGGCTTATGTAACCATTGAAAAACTTTCAGAAATGAAAATTTTGTCAAGACGGAGTCTGCTTCAGTTTGAGAAAGAGCTTCAGATTTACTGGAATAAACTGCAGACTTGGCAGGTGAAGTTTTGGGTTTAAATCATCATTTATTCCTTAATTGCTTTTAATGAAATCTTTTTATGCACCATCTCCATCTGAAGGGAAACTGGGTATTTGGAAATTGTAAAAATGAATCTGGTGCCTTTATTTTCAACATTGTCTTTATAATATATACTGCTTTATATGTTTTATACATACTTTCGAAACCCAGGAAGTGCTTAGTGAAGTGGAATGAGTGCAATTTCAGAGGTGCTTGAATGTACTTAAATGGTGAGCTCCAACACTTAAGTTGAATATTTCTTAGGTATGGAACAACAAAAACAAAGAATAGAGAAAATAAGAAGAAAATAAGTGATCTTTTTTCCACATTTTTTTCTGGTATCTTTTTTACCTACATTATCTAGAATAACATACTTTTAATGCCACATAATAATAAAAAAGCTGGATTGCAGGGAAAGTTCACTCTGTTTCTAAACAAAGAACACGTTTCTTCTGGAAATTTCTCATAATTTCTACTGGTGGGGGTGTGAGGCAACATGCAGACTTTATTATATTGGGTTCCTCGGACAGTTCTCGCCATTTTAGAACTTGACAAGATACTTTTTTGTAAGATTTTATTTAGGTCACTTATGGTGTTTCACTATGGTAGGAATTTTATTGTTGATTTTTAACCTATTTTCTGATGAGCTGTCAAGTTTAAATTTCATACATGTGTTGTTGGTCGACGGCTGTGCAGTATGATGAAGAAATGTTTTCAAAATTCGATTTAGATTTTATTATTTGACGTTTAAACTATTTTTTAGACATATCTTCTTTAATGAACATACAAAACATATCAGAATTTTATTGTTTGCACCATCAAATAGAGTGAAGGAAAATCTACCCAATGAAACTGGTATGAAAAATTGTATTGTAATTTCTGAATTTTCAACAAATTTTTGAAAATTTGCCAAATTTTTTTAGACTTTAAAATTTTAACGTCTAAAATTGTGTTCGATAGAGTTTTGCTTTTTTTTTTCAGATTTAAAATGAACTTTTCACCCTTTTTTCAAAAGAATAATAATAAAAAAATTATTAATTGAGCAGGTACGCTCATATTATTGTAACCACTTTGGCACAGTTTGGTGATTTTATGGAGGAAAAAGGATTCGGTGAATTTTCTGGATTTTGGATCTTCTGTTCAAATATATTGAGATGGCATGGAGAAATAAAATTAAATATATTTTTTATTAATATTGCATACAGAGAGAGTTTCAGTTTTTTTTACCGATCTCCTGGCAAATCGCAGAATCTCTTGGTTTTTTAGATTTTATTTTACTGAAGGAAGTGCTTTCAGCAATAAAAAATAGTGCAAATAAAATTAATTTAAGTTTTATTATAGAATTAATAAAGTTTATGTAAATTTCATTCTCCCATCCCTGATGGATCTTTAGCATGATGGTTGTTATTGAATTTTATTTGATCTGAATTGTCTTAACCTGCTATAGAACTTGAAGGCTCAATCAAATCCATAAATAATACATAATATTTTTATTAATTTTGTTAAGTCAATATATAGTACATTACTCAGTTTATTCTCACAATAGTATGTAAATCATTAACTTTATAGTTACTACATGTAAAATACTTTAATAAATAAAAACTTTCCTTCCCTACTCCGGAATTTTCTCATTTAAAAATATAAAAAATTAAAAAATAAAATTAGTCAAAGAACATGAAACTTAGAATATGTGATTGAATATGATTTATGTTAGAATCACATTAAAAATAATTGAAGAAACTGAATCATATGTTATAAAGTGAATTTCATTCAGGTTTGAGCTGTTTTAAAATTGTTTTCGCAGGAAGCACCAAATCTTCCGTAAACTGTCAGTTTTTGGTGCAAGAAACTCCCAGTCTTTCATATTTCAAGCTAGGTAGCTATGATACTGCTTTAAGAAAGAGGTACTTAGTATAAAAATTAATTTTCTGAATTACGATATGGAATTAAAATATGAATCAACCAAAATGGCAATATTTTATGGCTTCAAAATTGTACTATAGGCATTAACCATTTCATTAACTGATTTACAGTTAAAGCATTGTCATCACAATGCAAGACATTATATCATTTTTAGTTAGCATTACTTCTCATATACCATAAACTGAAAAATTTCATTTCCTGCTTATGATATCAAAAAAAGCTTCAGATTATAAATTTTCATTTTCATGAAATTTGGAGCCGATTATAAACATTGCAAACATTTAAAAGAATATCTGCAGAAACTTTCTCAGTGCTTCACTCATCAAATTTTCTAGAATTTTTGGACAGCCTTGCCACTGATTGGAAAATTTAGCAGGTTTTAAAAAGGCTGTTTTGTATCTGCACTTAAGTTTTTTTCAAAATCTTTCTCCCTTCCTAGCTGTTGTACCAACAAAGAAAATGAGTAAAAGCAAAATCCCACTCCAAATTCATCATATCTTGAGACTTATTATTTATGTCAGATAGAAAAAGGCAAGATTCCATGAATAAGATCTCTAGGAGGAAAAAAATTGTATTCATGAGCACTTTCTGCAATAATATAGATAGAAATGGTGAATCTGTTAACATCAGAAATCTTCCTAAACTGATATTTTAGTTAATTTTTATATTATTTATATAATATATAAGATATTTTAGTTAAGAACAAACACTTTGCTGTTAACTTTGTATGTGACCCCTGAGTACGATATACAGCTTTAAAACTAAATATCCCAGTCTATTCGTGTAAACATGCAACTTAAGTCGCACATTTCGTATAACATTTTCCTAAATATGAATATGGGTACCAAGAAAACATAAAAAATATATATGTCTTAATGTTTAGAAAATTTATTCCTGTTTATAATTTAAAATAAAAATTATGAATATTTGGAACATTTAAAAAATTTTTGTCCCTGGAAGCCTAAGAGTCTATGCCTAAGAGTTTTATAAAGTAAAAGCCGAGTGAACATGTTTGTGGACAGGGTGTATGTTTATATACACTGTGCCCCATAAATGTCGCGGGGGGAACTAGAGCACATCATAAAGGATTAAGAATTGCATAGGAACCCATGCCCAGAAACGTTATTGTATGCTGCCAGAGGATGCTGTACAGGAAAGTGCTAATGGAAAGTGAGGATTGCCTCATTCGACCATACAAAGACCATGGAATGATAATGCGAACCGGGAGCCTGCAAACATGCTCTTAGTGTGTGGAATAGCTGAGGGTAATGGACAAACTGCTGCATGCATTTATTGAGAATGCTTCTCCGACAGACATCAACCCAGTTTGCACATCTGCATCAAAATTTGTGCGACTACAGGTCATTAAGAAGTGGACTCATTTTGAACTGGATACTTGTAGCCATTTGTACAGATCATTCCTGCATCGATGCATTGGGCGTGGTGGATCAGTTTCCTGGCCCACATGCTAGCTGGATTTATCGATCCTTGATTTCTTTTTGTGGGAAGCCATCAAAAGTATCATGTATCACGATCCTGGGTTGTCATAAATGGATCTCGTGGCAAGACTCGCTTGTGCAACTGCTACAATCAAAGAAACTCCTGGTGTGTTTCAACATATCTGGCAATAAATGGTCCGTCGGTGTCAGATGTGTTTGGAGTCTGACGTTACAAACTTTGAGCATTTGTTGTAACATTCAAGCTGTCGTACATCATTTGTATTCACATCCAATAAATGTTTCAAATTAATCCCTTTTGTTTCTTTTCCCATCTTCTACCTCTGCTACCACTTACCTCTGACATTTCCAGGCATGGGTTCCCATGCAATTCTTAATCCTTATGATAAGCCCTACCTTCCCCAGAGGTTTGTTGCAATGTTTACGGGATATCCCGTATAACAGTAAATGTGTGTACATTGCTTACTTATAACTTCTGTATCTTTGTACTCTTGTTTTTTGTACCTCTATGAGGGCATTACTTTGCTATGGGTACATCTTTTTAATATCATTAAAAATGCCTTTGTGTGTTTCAGTGACTTGATATGGTCTTATAATAAATTTATTTTTTATAAAATTTGTTACAAGAAATTTTGAATTGTAAATTTATTGTCATTATTTAAGTTTTGAAAGTTTGTCAATTGAATATATAACTTTGGTTCTGTTTTTCTCACTTTTATTTTTAATTTAATGTAATTAGTTACGTTTTGAAAGTTAGTCAATTGAACGTACCTTTGCTTCTTTCTGCTTTTCCCACTTTTATATTTTTCTCTCATGAAAAGTATGCTTATAGAGAAAATGATTTCTTTATTCTGTTTCCTTCTGCTGTCTTTTGCATGTATTAAATGTAATACACACATGCTAGAATTGTAAGATTATAGTTATTAGAATTATAAAAGAAATTGAGGTAATGCTAGAGTAGGTGTCCTTCTCCTGGTAGTTTTTGGGGGGCTGTTTTCCTGGGCTTTGTATATAATTGTCCTTGTCTGCTCCTGGATTTGGATTTGCATTTCTTGATTGTTTGACCAGAGGCTTTTTCTTAGAGTGCTCATTTGAACTATATAGAGTTTCTAGAGTTTAAGCTGAAGAAATAGCTGTTGAACAGTTATGAATTGAGGAATGGAATTTGAGAGTAGTACTGTATGTACTGTTGAGAGTGTAGTGTTAATTCCAATAGTATAGAAGCAACCCACATGCATGTTTGAGCTGGCACAGTTTTAGGAAAGGTGTGTTTTGCTGTTAAGGGGTGCTCGATGTAGTCAAATCGCATGTAGCGCTATGGAGTGATTGGTTTGGTTTCGTGGTTGTGTGAGAGTTGGAAGCAGGTTACGCAGGGGTGTAACATTTCATTAATCGTCGTGTCTGGCTGGGTGCTCTGCCAGGTAACTGGTCCTAGGCCATCCTCTGGTAAGTGCAAGCCTGCTTATTGTTTTATGGAGGGTGCTTTGAAGGGTTAATGTGCTATGTGAAGCTGTTGATAATGTAATACACACATGCTAGAATTGTAAGAACTACTCAGATTATTAGTTATTAGAATTTTTAAAGATTTTGCAGTGACATGGTAGATGCTAGATGTACCTCTGGTAGTTTTCCAGACTAAGCCGGTTTCCTGGTGCTGTCTATACTTGTAATTGTAAACTTGTTGCTCCTGGTCTACCCAGTCTAGATTTGTTATTTGCATTGTTCATTGACAGAGGCTTATTTTCCTTAACTGATGTGCTCATTTGCCAGAGCAGAACTCCAGACCTAGAGTTTCATAACTTGAAGAATAAGCTGATTGAGTCAAAACAGCTGTCTGGACCTTAGGAATTTAGAGTGATGGCTTCTGTGAGTAATGTACTGTATGAGACTCTTCGTAGTGGCTTAATTCAATAGGTACTATATTTGATAGACAACCCACATAGAAGCATGAGTGAGCTTGCACAGTTTTAAGGGCATGTGTTTCGCTGTTAAGGGGTAGAGTGTGATGTAGTCAATATTGCTCTGATGTAGTTAATCGCATGTAGCGCTATGGATGTCTGATTAATGGTAATTGGTTGTCTGTGAGCGAGTACCAGTGGAGCAGCCAGTTACTTTCTAGGGTCCTTAACGCAGTAATACGTGTAACATTTTTGTGCTCTCTTTTTAGACCTTGCTGGTCCTGTAGTGCCATCAGTAACTGGTAATAAGGGACCACTGCTCCTGTTCTATGCAGTGCAAAGCAGTTTATGTGATGTTAGCTGATAGAGGGTGCCTTTGAGGGTCACTTTTTAAAGCAGTTCTGCTCATGTGCCAAAAAAGAGTTTGTGACCTCAAGTTCATAACTTGATGCTTGAATTGATTATGTCAAAACAGCTATATTCACCTGTATGATTTAAGTGTCTTTTCTGCATGACGAATGATGAATGTTGCTCGACATTACAAAAATCCCATGAAGTGCCGCACTTCTTATCTGTGCTGACAGAGTAGCAAAGAAAGCGAGCTAAAGTTGGGACCACCACTGATTCATTGAGAGAAAATGCAAATTTCTTTTTAAAGAGTTTGTTGCGAAGCATGTTTCAGAAGGTTTTAGTTAGCATGCTGCTGCAAGCGTAGAGCTTTAAAAGTTAATGAAATCTATTTTAATTTAAATATCTGCTAATTAATATGTTTGTGATTATATGTATATATTATCTGAAATTTTAAATTTTTTTTCTTCCTAGCTTGCATTAGTTTCTTGGCGGGATTTTTTGTTTCGTCCTTTACATAAACAGGTGGGTGAACATTTTCAAGGTAATTTGTTTTTTGTTTTACATGAGTTTGAATTATATTCATCTGGTATAAATCATTGAGGTAATATATATTTAGTTTTCCTGCAAAGATTTATGTACAGCATAGAGATTTAAAATTAGGCAAAAAAAGCAGCCTAAGTTTGACTTCTAAACTATGAACATTTTTTATCCTGAATGGAGATCTGCGTCTGAGTACCTTTAAAGTTAATAGTTATATTCAAAATATGTGCTGAACTAAGGTTGCTGCTTTGCATAGTTCTAAATTTTGCATTGCCATGTTTATCTTCCATTTGACACACTAGGGATGTTAATTTACTTTCATTTCCACTACCCCACCTATAAGCTAATCATTCCATTGTTCATTATGCATGTCTGTTGTTACCTGTCTGTGGGGTGTAGCATTCCACTATCTAGCAGTTATTAAGCAGACAAAGAGCTACTAATAGCTAAAGCTAGATTCAATTTCTGCCCAACAGGTTGGTTGCATAATTTTTCATGGTTTTCCCCATGTGTAATATGAATTCAAGTCAGTTTCCCATACAAAATCGTTCACGAAGACATGCCTGCTTTCTGGTGCAGGTCCTAATGTATAGTCATAGTATGTTTTGTCGCAGTCTGGTACCTTTTAATCCAATATTTACTACTTTATCTATTTAATTTCTACTGGCATCTGTTGTATTATGCTTGTAACAGTGCTGCAGAATTTTGACTGATGTTGTGCAATATTTTATTACTTTTCTTTTGTGTTTTGTTTAAATAAAATGATTTTAATATAGTTTTAATTTCTGTTTCAATGCAAGCATGTGCACACATATTGCCAAAAAAGGAGTTGTGTATTAGATGAAGATAATAAATTCTATTATATTTTTAATTTCTTTTTAATCCTAACTCCTTTGGATAACTTATTGCAGAACTCTTTTAATTCTCAATTAATAATGGAAATACTAAAAATTAATAAATAAAATGCTTTGGATTATTTTAAATTAGTTTTTTGCATATAAATGTTTAACTATTAACTCTTAATTAGCTATTTATTCCACCTTATGCATTTATGAGAGTAAATTATTTCATAGTATGCTAGCAACAAATACTGTGTGTGACCTTGAGCCATTTTTTTGTGTCTTCGTAACCTACAAATGGAGAAATGGCATTGCAGATAGTATGAAACAGAAGTTGTAAAAATGAAAATTTTCGATGCTGATGTATTTAATTTATCATAAAAGTGTTTTCTAGCAGACCCGCAAACATTTCCTTAAAAGTTTCAGAGCAATAGTACAGCAATTATTTGAGTCACTTGCAAGCGGTGTGTACATAATGTCAGGTGATTTGTTGAACATGTTATGATAAACCAAGCTAAAAGTATTTATTTAAAAAATAGAGTCATTACCATAAAAGTTTTGGGCTTACATTTGTTACGGTACTTTATTTTGTTATGCAGCTTGCCAAGGTGCACTGGTGTTAAGCCTCTTTACTTTGCTTAATTACAGTAATAGAATAAAAAACCATATGTATGTGTGATGTAATGTAATAGAATATATATGCAATAGAATGAACAGACTTTCAAGCTGTCTTATTCTAGCCTGTTCAGTAATGTAAGTAATGTAATATTTTCGAATATAACTAGAGTTAAAAGTGCTGTTATTGTTCACAGGTTTTATTCAGTACTTTCTTGCACTTGTATTTTAACTATATTATGCAAAGTTTTGCTTTTAACTTTTATAAGTTAAAAAAAAAAGAAACCGAACTATTAAAACTTGCAAAGAGTTATGTAAGCTATGCCCATAAAGTTTTGTGTGAGTTAAAGAAAACTGATATATATATTAAAGTACATGAAATATAAAAGGCAAAAACTGTCAAGTTTATCCTGAAAATTAAACCAGAAACTAAAATTTGTTACAGAAGATGCATTAAGTGCATATCTTACTTTATATGCACAATAGTTTATAGTTATTCATATATTCTTGATAAAAGTCTGTACAAATAAGAAAAAGTGAAAAGACAGAAATAAAAATCTATTTGCTCATGTATTCGTATACAAAATTATTCAAGTGTAGTCATGTTGTCCTCATCTAGAACATCAGCAAAAAGCTTAAAAAACCAAACCTTTTTTTTATTGTCACGCCATTTTCTGTTAAACCATTAGTCTTCCTTACATTTAAGCAATTAAACTCTCCTTAAATAACTGCTTCTTGTCCATATAGCTTAGTTATAATGCACTGGCTTAGCTGTCAGTGATACTGTTTCATGAATTCTTCACAAGTCACAACCTCTTGCAGGCTAGACATCACAGCATTTCCATGTCATTTTTCATTGTAATCACTGATTTCCATACACAGGAACTAAGGTAGTCCATACTAACTTATTTATAGCAATATCAAGATTGGAGATAAACAGTTAATTATTCCTGTGAAAATTTATTTGATATATTCTTTATCTTTATTGTGATGAGTTCTGCCTCGATCCCAGACTTGCTGATTTTTTTTTTTTTTTTTTGGCCACAGAACAGGTGGTAGTATTTAATCGACTTGCTTGTACACAGCAGCCTTTTTCAGTTTCAATAACATAAAGGCTTGGAACATGTTCAATCTCATTTTTAATGTCCTGAGTAGTAATCAGAGGCAGAGCTTTTTTTCTGTCCAGAAGAAATGCCTAAATAACACTACCTTTATAATTCACGTAGAAAATGTAGATTGACAAAGCTCCCCCTCTTACTACAGGCGTTTGAGACCTTTGACAAACTCATAACAGTCGTGTTGGAGAGTTGGTTTTTAGAACAGATGATGTTGCCAATAAAAGACTTTAATACAGATGCACATCTTGCAGCTTAAACAGTGTTGTCATCTGAGACATAGCTGATATCACTGAAAGAAGCTGTCTTTTAGTGTTGTGAATGCTTTGGATTCTTGGGATGTATATGACTGTTGTTTTGCTGCAAAAGCAAATGCTTGAATACCATCCCTGCAAACAACCAAAACCTGTACTCTTCTGTTAGCAATTCATTCACACATGATGTCTTTCAACTCATAAAATGATTGCTGTCCTAATCCTTTCATGCCCTTTATTCATCTGTTGATTGAGATTCTTGTGTGTGTGGCACATGTGACATTACTTTACTGTGATCACCATTTTCAGACCATCTAAAGATTGAGATTTGACTGTTTTCAGAAAGTTCTAAGATTCTTGCTGTGGCTTCTTTGCACATGTTTTTTTTGTCCAACACAGGAAAGGACTACTGCTAATGTTTTCCCCTTTAAATTAAATAAATCAAGTGTTAATTGAAAGTTTAGAAGACAAGAATGGCAGCAAAAACATTTGAGAATGATGGATCACACAAATCACAAAAAATTACCAGCATAAAATTCTGAAAACATTTTTCACTCAAGATCATATTAAGTATGTCCATTCCATCACATGATATATATAATCATGACGATTCTAATTAATCACACCCACATATGTTTGTTATCAAATGTCCACATGTAGTTGTTTGTTATTAAGTCTGGTGTCCATGTCTGTCTAACAGTCTTACTGAAGCTTATTTATGGGGTAGGGCTTATATTTCAAGTATACTTGAAAATCATGCTAGAGCTTAGTAGAGAATACCCATCCATGTTTTAAATGGACTGCGTTATAATGTAAAGTTGTTGAATGTGACGTTCGTTTAATAAGCCAGTATTTTATATACAGTTTATTTGGAACAGATTTATTTTGCTTTGGCTTAATGCCATGTCTGCGAGAAGCAGAATAGCAGAAGCCTTGAAACATTTGTATCTGAAGCTCAATTCCAGTAATGGGAAAGCTGAATGGATGTTTCATGATTTTCTTGAAAGGAAGGTTTTAAGCATTTAAGCCTCATGTTTATTTCTAGGCAGGGGAACTAGCTGCATTTATATTTAACATAAATATGAGGCTATTTTATTCCATATCCTGATTTCATATTTATGCTAGGATAGGAGATGTAATCCTTTGTACTTTGTAGTATTTTTCAATTTATTAGCATCGCAGTGCTGATGAAAATCTCACTCTGATCTATCTATTTCTCTCTGTCTCTCTGTATATATATAAGATAAAAAATATGAAAACAAACTTCTAATTTGGACTTCCACTCTTTGCCTTAAAAATAGCGCTATAAATCTAAACTGCGTCATTAAAATTAATCATGCGATCTTACGTAACCCTTAAGGCAGATATCTCTTGCCCAATAAAAATAATTTGTAAACCAAAACCTTTTTTGACTCCCTTCCTTCTTCCTCTGAAGTACTGCGATGCACTCTCTCTTTTCGCTTAAGCTTTCATCCTGTTAAGATGCTTTGCTGTAATCATCTGTGTGCTGCTAATATCAAAATTGTGAATTTTTTTGAAGTGGGCTCGATTGGAGTTCCAAGTGAATTGTGGCCGCAAACTAGAATTTAAATAAATATGGAATTTAATCCAGCTCCACTGCTTCTTTATCAAAATGGATGGACGCTCTTAAGCATTAAGTATCCTCCCAATTAGCATTTCTACACTTCTACAACTCAGTGTTCTATATCTTAATGCTTCCAAATTTGTGTTATTACAATTTCATGGTACATTGGGCTTTTATTTCTAATTATGAAGAAATCTACATGGGTTTGTTATTTTATGTTCACAGTCAATCGGGAAAAGTCCTGTTTCACTGAAAATTGTAATTAATTTGATTATTAATGTGACACAACGCATTAATAATCAAATCATTCATGTCGTGTCATCAAACCGCAGTGTCATTACATATACAGACTTGCCAACTCTCCCGATTTTCGACCGCTCTCCCGCCAACCCGATTTACAATATATTTCTCCCGACTTTTTCTTATTCTTAAAATTTCTCACGATTTTTATGGAACTTTGCTTAATACTTTTGTTATATGAACAAAAAACGTGATTTTGGACGTCCCAAGCAAATGAATTTTGTCTAGATTATATCTAAAACAAAACCTTGCGAATTAGATAACTTCTGTATTGTGAGTGAGAGCATATACGTATCTAGAAACGTCCTTCTCTAGTTCTCCAATGGGCATCGTGCTCCACTGCGTGTCATCTGGCATATATTAGCCAATGAGGACAAAACAAGCTGTTATTTGGATGTTCTTTAGTTATTTCGGTCATTTTGTCCTGAGTTGTGTGAGTACACGTGCCTTTCGGGAAATAGTTTTTAGAAATTATCATCTTTTATTATGTCTGCGAGAAAGGTGAAATACTCGTGTACGTTTCAAAAATCGTACACAGCTGACTTTCCTTCCATTATTTCCTCAAGGAAATGTAATAAATTTGCGATGTGTACCGCCTGTCGTTGCGATTTTTCGATTTCGCATGGTGGAAGGGCGGATGTTCTCAAACATGTGCGTACACAAAAACACAAGGGCAACATGAGTTGTTTTGGAAAAAAAAAAAAAAAAAAAAAAAAAATTAAATTTTTCTTCGGAAACAAAGGACCAAAAAGTTATTAATGCAGAATGTCTGTTCTCTGCCTTTTTACTGGAGCACACCTGCCACTGAATGCATCGGATCACGCTGCAGCTTTATTTAGAAAAATGTTTCCCGATAGTGAAATCGCTAAGAAATACTCAAGTGCAAGAACCAAAAAGAGGTGCAATTGTTAAAGAAATGGATTTGAAAGATAAATCTTCAGTTATTGATTGCATTAAAACAGCTCCGTTCTGCCTCTCTACGGATGGAAGCAATAATACCGATTCAAAACTGTATCCAATTGTTTCTTTTTTTAATCCAGTCTTCAGAAATTGAGTGCAGTTTACTTTCTGTCCCCACTTTAGAAGGATATTTGACAGGCTTTAATATAGCACAGCTCACTATTAAAACTTTAAAATAAAATGCAGTCCCTCTGGATGATTGCTTAGCACTTGGTGCCGATAATGCACCAGTATTGGTAGGCTTGAAGACTGTTGTTGCAGGCATCTTCAGAAAAGTAAATTAAGATTTGTAGATTATGAAGTGCACCTGTCACCTCTTAAATTTAGCAGCTGAAAAAGGAGTTGCTTCTTTACCAATAAATGTGGATGAACACATTGTTGATATTTATTATTATCTTGAAAGGAGTTCTAAAAAGGAGGAAAAATTGAAACAGGTCCAAAAGCTGCATAACAGCAGTTTACAATTAGAAAACTTGGATGAAGTTTATAAAATCAGCTAGGATTGACACCCAGTGGAGTTTTAATTGGAAAAACTGAAAGATGCTGATGGAATTGAGTGAACTGTCTAGAATTATGTTGGCCATCTTGACAGTTCCCAATAGTATTGCAGAGTGTGAGAGGGATTTTTCAGTTGTTGTTGCGAAAACGAGGACTAAATTTAGATCTAATATTAGTGATGACACATTAGAAAACTTTTATTAGTGAAAGCAGGCCTACATAGCAATTGCTATGAACAAAATTATTAAGTTTCTTTCTTAAAGAAAGCAAAAATCTGCCACTTTTTATACCATTTGTACGAAAACTGATTAAGGTGTTTTTTTTTTTTTTTTTTTTTTTTTTTTTTTTTTTTTTTTTTTTTTGTTTTTTTTTTTTTTTTTTTTTTTTTTTTTTTTTTTTTTTTTTTTTTTTTTTTTTTTTTTTTTTTTTTGTTTGTTTTTGTTCTTAAACGATGCAAGTAATAAAAATGTTTTTTATGTGTAAGGTATTTTTCTGTTGCTTGCATTTAAGAATTAGCTACTATTTAAAGTTAATTCATTATTAAAAACTATATTTTCCTCATTTAAAAAGTCTTTTTAACATTGTGAAAAAATCTCCCGATTTTTGAGTGTCATAGGTTGGCAAGTATGCATATATATATAAATTTTGAAATTCATTACAGTTTTTCTCTTTGTATTTCTTTATAAAAATTATATATATATATATATATATATATATATATATATATATAATAGGCAAACATTACTTTATAGTACAATTATATATGGTTTGCTAATTTTTGGTGCACTATCTCTGTATTGTGGTAATTTATGTAAGGGGGCTATGTGCATGTCATAAAGTTTATACATAATTAACACGTTGAGCGTGACGTCAGTTGTCTGTGGCTGACACTAGATTTTCTGTTTAGGCCGCATAAGCCATCTGTGGCTGACACTAGATTTTCCGTTTAGGCCAAGTGAGCCATCTGTGACTAACACTAGAATTTCCATTTAGGCTGCGTCAGACATCTGTGGCTGACACTAGATTTTCCGTTTAGGCCGCGTCAGCTATCCTTGGCTGATACTAGATTTTCCGTGTAGGCCGCGTCAGCCATCTGTGGCTGCACTAAACTTTCCGTTTAGGTCGCCTCAGCCATTTGTGGCTGACACTAGACCTTTTCGTTTAGGCCGCGTTGACCGCCGCTGGCTGACAGCGTGTAACATATATAACTATAAAATTTACAGTTTTATGAAATTACACAAAATTTATTTAAAATTTTCTTAATTTTGATTCATTGGATTTCATTGAAACACGGTAAAAACGGTTCTCCATTGCAGCTATTACAAAATGTGACAACAGTCTTTTAGTCTTTTTTCTGGCCATTACTCTACCAGCTTCTGTTGCATTTTTATGATAACGTAATTTACAATATTTTTGTACTTCAGAGGCATTTCCCGGTTTTCTTCGGAGTTTATGTTGTCATTTTCTAGATATTCTTGCATTTTTGTTTGACAGAATGTCTTCTTTTTCACAACTTGTTGCTATCTTCTACCGCGATACGAATCATTGGCCCTACAATACCAGTGCTTTTAAGCGAAGCCCATGGCCTGAACGGGATTGCCTAAAACATATGTGTGGTGCTCAACGTGTTAAAATACACTATGTACAGTTTTTCATTGCTGTGATATTTTAACATTTGAAGAATTGATAAAATAATATTTCCATGATATATAGGAATTATTAATGCTGTACATTTTCGTATAGAATTTAATACCCACCTGATGAAACTGATATTCGTTATTTTTTAAAAATTAAAATATATATACATAGGAGGCTGGTTTCCATCTTATTTTATTGCTAAGTAGATCAACTTTTAAGTAGTTGAAGGGACAAAGAAATACAATAAAAGATATGGTGCATACATGTGCGAATACTTTTACAAACGATATTTAAATACACATGTAGTTAAATATGAGGATGAAAGTTGCAATTATAGTAATGATTCTATAAAAAATATTATAAATATCCATTATGTGCTTTTAAAGGCAGTCTGTCATATTTAAAATTTACTATTTTTTGCTGTCAGTTTTAGTTTTTGCAAAATTTTGAGTATCAGTTTAGTGTTTATGAGTTATAATGCATAGGAGATGGGCTATTTTCTTTTAAATGTGTGCATGGTTTTGATAAGTTTTTTTCATTCTAATTTTAGGTTACTAGTGCTGTTTTAAAGTTAATAGAGAAAGAGCGCAACGGAGAAACTATCAACACTAGACTTGTGAGTGGTGTCATGAACTGTTATGGTAATTTTTTTATAATATATTCACAATTAGCCTGTGTCTTTAAAATGATGAGACTTTACGTTATGTAAAAATTTACTGTGCACAAATTAATGAGCTTTGTATTAGAAATTATTCTTTACTCTAGTAGAAAAAATGTGTGTGTCAAATTTGTAAGTTTTTGGGAAAGGCTATTCTAGTTCTCACAAAATTTTGAATTATGCACAATTTAGAGAAACAATGTAATAAGAGTGAATTATGCTGTCATATTTAAGAGGGCATATTGCTGCTTTTTATTTAAATATGTATGTTACCATGGCATCTTTTTTAATTCTGTTTATTTAATCATCTGAGTGGCATGGCATTCTTCATTTGCCCATTTTTTTAGATTTGTTTATAAAGACCTGTATTTAAACAGCATTTATTATCTAAATTTGTAGTTTTTTAAATTTTAGTCTCTCATTTTCATAAATTTCCATTCATTAAAATGACATTTACATCATTAAAGAAAGTAAAAATGTAAAATATTTTAAACTAATATACACTGAGTAAGCCAAAAAATCTAACCAGATAAAGCTGGTCAGGCCATTAAAGAGGTTCATTTTAATGGACTTACCAAACTGGTAAGCTTGAGAAATAGATTTGATTTAAAACATTATACTACAAGCATGTTACCTTTTTTCCTGTGAAGACATATATGCTTATCTGACTGGTGCAGAAATCTGAAATTTGATGAGTTTTGACCCTTTCTCCATAGTTATTATTGCTCATTTATTCTTAATTTATAATATATGCACGAAATCTTTGAGAACCATCAGCATTATTATTAATGCTAGGTTACATCGGAGAGGAAACAATTTGTATGTTAAATATTCTGTGCTCTAAGTAATGGAAAATCTGACCTTTTCATGCAGTGCCTTGTGTGTACTAAAAGTATGTCCGCCCATAGTTTTAGGTAATGCTTTTAGCTTTTGTCCATTATGTTTTTGATTTATGCATTGAAAATACTTAAATTATAAAGTATTATAAAGAACAGGGTATATGTTCTGTTTGTTGACAACAAAATTTTCAGCAATTTTTGCTGATTTTAAATCAGTAACGTTCAATAATTGGAAATGAAGTATGTATCTGTAATTCAGTACTAAAATCTTGTATGATTGATGGATTTCTAGATCATCTTTGATTTCTGATACTGTTTTACCATTCACTTTATCCATATCCTGAAATATATTGTGTAATTTTGGTTTTGGTGTTACTGTATTATAATCATGTTAATTTGCATGGTAAAATTTCTCTTTCAGTTGAATTGGGATTAAATGAAGATGATCCATCTGCAAAGGGACAGAATCTTTCTATATATAAAGAAGCATTTGAGAATACATTCCTGGGTGATACAGAGAGATTTTATATCGCAGAAAGCACAGATTTCATTCGACAGAATCCTGTAACAGAATATATGAAAAAGGTTTGCTAAATTTTTTTCACTAAGTGCAAATAGGAATGATTCATTTTTATAATATTGGTATCCTTTGCTTCATCAAAGTATGCTAATTTCCGGTTTGGTTTTTGAAAGCCAGATGTCAGTAAGTATCTATTGTCATTAACCCAAAGAAATATGAAGATCATTTTTACTAAAGAAAAAGGTGAAAAGTGGATCAAGCATTCAGTATTGAATTTCACGTTAAGGAAAATGCAGAAAAGTGAGTTTGAAGGGGCATATAATTTTATGACACTGTTATAAGTTGCAATGCAAATTTAAAAAAAAAAAAAAAAAAACTTTGTGAACTTCAGTTGTCAAGCATATTATAATTCAGTACTATTTACTACTTGTTGTCTTCCGCTGTCAGCCACAACAGATGACCAAGTTTGGCACTTAGTGTCAAGTGGGTGGGACACTAGAATTTCACCATTAGTTGTAGAGATGGGCAGAACCACTCTTTTAATAGGATTAGATCAGAACCCTTTGCTAACTGAACTGAATTAGTTCTTTTGGATAACTCATCGCTTACGAACAGTAACTTTGATGAAAAACATAAGGAATGATCAGTGAATCTGGAGCAATTAAAGAGGATGAAGTAAAAGAACAGAAAGAATTTAATGAGCAGTGGGGTAGGGAATGGTTAACGAGGTTGGAATGAAGATTGAAAGGAATCTCACAAGCAGTGGGATCGGAAGAATCATTTCAATCAAATGCTAATACCTGAACTTTCTTCTTTCAATTGTACTTAAGATGCCTCAAAACATTTCTACCTATAACTAAGAATAAAATTGTAGTGTAAAATTTTTCCAGAAGTTGGGAAATGATAAAAATTAAACTCACTTTTAACAGAACTCTTTTTCTCCTCTAATATGGGACTGAAAGTTTCCAGGAGCGTTTCTAGGAGCTCTGGGTGAATTCTAAAAGAGCTCACTGTTTTTTCATCAATCAGGCATTAGCTTATTTAGTAAAGTGAATTGATTAGTGAATGAATTTCAGACTCCACTCTTTTTCATGGAATCATCTTTCATTAGCTCAATAAAAAGAATCATTTCTTTGAATTAGCTCTGGAGTAAATTTTGAATCCCCACTAATCAATTCACTCTCAAAGATTTCGTGCATCTGTACAAGTATAATATCACTGTATTAACTTGTGCAGCTTTGCTCCAGTTTATGGAGAACAGCCCTGGAGGCAGTCTGAGCATTTCCTACCACTCTCCCATACCACCAAACCACCGAAGAGGACTTCTAGCTCACCAGTATTTTGAGTGCTGTGATGCCACACAGACTTTATACACTTTCAAGCATCCACTCCTTCTTCGGAACTCAAACCTGGGCTCATTTGTACAGCAGTCAGTGTTGCTAATCACTATATTGATTATAGCGGTTCAGTATCAATGCAACAGAATATAAATTAATTATTAGTGACCTCCTAGGCAGTATGCATTCATAAATTGTATGCAGAAAATAGGGGTAATTTACAAATAGCTCTTCGCCTAAGAAACATAAACCTTGAATGTTGAAATATGATAAAATGTGGTGTAAGAAAATAGTAGATATTTACATACATTTTTATGTTACAATATACGTAAAATTTAGGTATATACATGCAAATGAGCACACTTAATTTATGTAAATGTCAAGGGTTTACATAATTTTTGGCAGAAATTCATGTTAATTTTTCCAATTTTGTATTTCACAAATGTTTAATTTTGGTAAAAATGTAGGTAAATTTATACTTTTTTGTTTTGTAAAAAATCTGCAGTTTTTGTAATAAGTAAAAAAAATGCGTAAATTAACTACTTTCTTATTAAATATACTACTGCATTTATACATCCATTTTTTTGAGAAATCTGCATGTATTTTCACATGTATACATACATTTATTTAGGACTGTAGAAGCATCTTGTTATCCATCCAATCCTCGTTGTCTATGTCACATTAAATATTCTCACTGCGGACCTAATACACAGTAAAAAAATTAATCTTTATTTCAGGACCAGATCTGCATACTCCTCCTTCATGGTCAGTCTCTGTTCTAATTCTGTGCTTCTCCAAAACCTTTTCCTTAGGGTTGCTGTATTTATCAGCAGAAACATGGGTACAAGGCATGCTTCTTATTGCTATCATTATTATATTCTCTTATTGCTCGAGTTCCCCCCCCCTCCAGCTCCTTTGATGGCAACTCAAAGGATTCAGATTATGAAACATTTCAGACATCCATGCTGTTGATTTCCCCCCTCTTAATAACGAAAATAGAATGCAAATATTAGAAGAGATCAAAAAGTGATTCAACATATGACAAGGTTATGTATAAAAAAGGAAATGATAAACATGTGACAAAGTAAATTAAAAAAATAAAATTGTAAGAAGCCAGTTTCTTTGATAAGTGGTACGTCTTCCCGATCTTGTGACAGTTTGTGTCTAGGGAGTTCGTTAGCAGATTTATTCTGTTGAACTTTCTTTTAAGTTTCTGTCTATTTCAGTTCAGGTAAATCAGAGTCCTGAAAGCAAGCAGGCTGGTTTTACATGGTCTTTAGACACAGATTGAAGGCCGTTTATTTCATTTGTGAAAGTTTTGTTCGTTCTGGTAAGGACCTTGTGTGGACCTGCGTATTGCTGGTGCAGCAGTGGCTTTACTAGATTGAAACATAAGTATACATGTATACAGGATTTTAAGGTAGAACTTAAGTAATATTTATCTTGACAACATTGCAGATGTCACTGTTGGGTTTAGTTGTTGCATTCTATGTTGAAGATTAGGAAGAATGAAGTGTCAGATACGAGGGCTATCCAGAAAGTAGATTACGTTTTGGAATAAAAAAATAAACAAAGTATAGGAAACAAATTTTATTATATACAGATGAAAGCCACACTCAAATACTACTTTTCTACATAGTCACCATACAAATTGAGGCATTTATCGTAGCGATGTACGAGCTTGGAAATTCCTTCGTCGAAAAATTCGGCCCGCCTGCGCCTTCAACCACTTCATTACCTCTTCTTGCCTTCCATCTTGCACAAAACTTGTGGTAACCAAGCTTTCGTTGATGATTTTCGTGCAACAAACTTCGCGAAATTTGTGGGGAAAACTCAAAGAAAGTTCCGTTATTGTGAAATTTCGATTTTCACGGACTTTAGCATCGACTTTTTCGAGAAGTTCGGCGGTCACTATGCTGGGTCTCCCACTTCGATCTTCGTCGTGAACATTGGTTCGGCCATTTTGAAATCTTATGACCCACTGACACACTCCACCTTCAGTGATAATGTTGTCCCCATACACTTCACGAAAGCTTGCCCGATAGATTTCTATCGGTTTACAGTTTTTTTGCAGTCAGAAACCTTATACTGAGCGCACCTCGCAGCTCGCGGGATTTTCAATTAACGCAGACATTTCAAACCGTCACAGTATCTGAACGGAGCACAGCACGAACCTCTCACTAGCACGGCTAGATGCAGACTGAGCTGCACAACGCTCTGACCCCAAGATGGCCGCCCTAGCCCCGCCCCTAGCGGACACAGACGGAAACGTAATCTACTTCCTGGATGGCCCTCGTATATTAGATGTCATTATCATTCACTAGGCAGTCTGAGATTTGTGCCATATACCAGTTCTGCACAAGATGTCTGCAGATCATCCTTAATGGCTGTCAGAATAACTGGGAGTTTTTCAGTCCAGTTATTGATCTTGAGAGCCTGGAGAGAGGATTTCGAATGTCGATGAAAGTGTTCAACAATGCCATTTTACATTGGACGATTGGCTATGTGATTCTGTTTGTATCTAAAATGCAAGTAAATCTGCAAACATTGCAGACCTGTTTGGGAACCTTGGTCTTTTGTTATGACTGATGGGCAGCCAAAGTGAGGAGTCCATGATATGAAAATAGCTCTGCAAATGGTTTCCGTTTTCATATCAGAGATAGGTATGCCTTCAGGCCATCTGGAAAATCTATCTGTTAGAGTCAAAAGGTGCATGTTGCCTTTTGATTGTGGTAAGCCGAATTGCAGGCCAAAAATATCCATGTGGATTTTTAAAAAACATTACAGGAAGACAAAATATACCCAGTGGTGCTTTAGTGTGCTTGGTGATTTTTGATCTCTGGCAAGATTCACAGGATTTCCTCCAATGTTTGATATGATGTTTCATATTGCGCCATGCATAATGATAACGAATAAGCTGTGTAGTAGCTGCAATTCCTAGATGTGATAGATTATGCAGATGATTAAAGATGAGTCTGTAAAAGAAATTTGCAACAAATGGATGAGGAATGTCTGTAGAGATGTAATAAAGAAAATTGCCATCAGAGTATTGACTAGTTTTGAATTCCAACATCAAAAATGATGTATTGTTTTTGGGAAGCTTTTGTAACTCCAGATCATGCTATCGAGCATCAGAAAATTTTTTTAGAAAACAAAAATGGAAATTTTATTATGGAATCAATTTCAATTTTGGAAAGAAAAACAGCAACAATGTTTTTTAGAACCTTGCATTGATTTCTTCTTCAGTAGAATATTGAGAAATAAAATCTAAATTATGTAATTGCCGAGATGAACATTTGTGTGGGTTCTTCTTAAAAGCATATATTAATGTTTTTTTATCCATATAAATTTAAAAATTTCTGTCCTCTAACATGTGTCGTAATGTCTTTATTACAGAATAAGCTGAAAATAATTCCGTCATACGCAAACCATTTCTATTGACTTTTATCCGAGTTTCATTGAGAAAAATGCTTTATGTTCCCACATTTGTTGAGACAATTGCTTAAGAGTGCTGCCGATTGCGATGTCTGAAGCATCTACCCATATGCTTAACTGGGCTCCAGGAATAGAGTGTCTGAAAAGGGTAACCCGAGCAATGGCATTTTTGGCAGCAATAAAGGCTTGTTCAGCATTTTCGTTCCAATTTAACTGTGAGGGATGAGTCCTGAATACGGGAGCAAGATTTATTTTTATTGGTGCATCCTTCTAACAATTTTATTAAAGGAGAA